GAAGGGGCAGGGACAGGTGGGGAGAGGAGGGGAATGGGTGGGTTGTACCTACAAGGAGGCAAACAATCCAAAGAAATTCACTTGCATTCCCCTTAAAAGTAGTTTAATATGTTTAGAAGATGGGTTTGGTTTTCCATTTTCTCCTTTAATTTTGACCCTGCCAGTAACAGATTGGAAAAGAAAAAACAGACTCTTCTTTAAGTTCCTTAGTTTCACTGGTTCACATGATGACTTCAATATGTTTACACAGCTAAAGCACCAAAAGAACTTTTTTGCGAAAGATTCCGCATAACAAATCTAGAAATCAGATTTTGTATTGTGTAATATTCAACACAATCAATATATGATTGTTTTCTAAATACACACTGTATTTGTTAAAAACAGTGTACTGCTGTCCATCTTAGAATAGATACTGTAAATATACATGCTTAGAAATGTAAATATAACTGTAGCAAGGTTTCTCATTAAGGAACCACTTTGTTCTAGTTGACATCAGAAAAATTCGCCATCTTTAATGTAAGAAATTTTCTTCAAATTCATCATACCGTTTACATTTTATTTTCACCTGGATTCATAGTTTTTGTAGGAAGGTTAATTTAATCTTCAGGAATTGGCCCATAAAGTCTTACATTTCTAACTTCCTAGTGAACCTGATGATAGGGTAGGATGCAATGAAAGGGAAGAGGCCTGAATTCAAATCCTCCTCCCACAGGAGAAAAATATGACAAAGACATGATACAGCAGACTTACACTCAGAGTCATCAAAATCTAACACAAACAGCAACAACTCTGCTATGGCAGTGCCAGAGTGTTGGGCCACAGAACGAGCTATGCCATGCTCTTTCTGGAAGTAGTGCATAAGCTGGAATCCTGCTTAGTTTTCAAGAAAAGGTGATTGCATGTACATTACTATCTTCAGTACTAAACAGGTCTCAGGACATCCAGGGATCCAACATAACTTTATAGCACGATTGTTCTCCCTCTGAATTTTGTATGCTTTTCACAGAAGTACTACTGACTCATTTCAAGGCATCCTTCTGAGAGCTCAAATGAGAATGAGAGGTTAAATATCGAGCTGAAAATTTCGACAAAGTAGGAAATAAGTCCTGAGAAAGCTGAAATCAGTGAGAATCTCTGATAGCTAACATTTCTTCAAAATATCAGAAGACTATTTATATCACAAAGCTTAATAAATGCTGAATAAGGCTCTAACAGAAAAGTTTTAAACAATTTAAAAGCAGCTTGTAGTAGGGAGAAGAAAAGAATCTCTCACATTGGAGAACCAACCTGCACATGCTGCATTACATAAAACTCTGTTCCAATGATAGAAACGTCACTGCAATACAGCAGAGGCTCAGGAACTGGAAATCCAGCTGAAAACAAGGCCTTCTGCACACGATATTCCCTATCGATCTGAAGAAGACACAGAACTTAAGTTCAAAGAAAAGCTCTCAGACATAAATGAGTACAGTGAATGACAACTTATCCTCTTAAACGTTTAGTTATGTGTATAGCACAGAAAACTGGAAATGATCCACCAATTCATCGCATCTCTAGAGACATTCAACGTGCCTCACTATCATGGATATGACTTATCCACCTTCAATACAAAGCGTTTGGAGCTTGCTGAAGAGTGTTACTTACCTTGTGAGCTCTAGGTAAAAGAGGGCCATGGGGTTTCTTCCTGAGCACATAAGCCTGCCCACCCTTCTGAAGATAAAAGGTTGGATTTGACTGGCCCGAGCTACAAAGAGAAAGATTATAATTACTTATGAATTCAAGTACTTAGAAATTTGCAATCTACTAACAGAAATGATGTAAACTGAACTGTGACTTGGCCTGAACAAAATGACAAGACAGAGAAAAGTGGTCTTTTCAAGAGCTGTTGTCTTTTTTTTTTTTTTCAAATACAGTCTTACAAGGATGCAAGTGAGAGACTACAAAACTATGTCAGGGGTTCTATTCCTACCTATAAGAAATATGACTTCTTTCACTCCAAAGGTCACAGATACTCAATTTGTTCTCCTGTGGAATGGAGAGAGCATTTACCTCTCCTCCCTCGAGAGACATTATTAATGTTTTCAAGGTATGCAGTAGATGCTAACTTTAAAATTTTCCAATGTGGAGGAAATTAAACAGAGCAGAATTCACACTAGCCTGTAATTGTATTTGGCCTTTGCCAAGCTGTAGTTTGAACAATGTAAGCATATAGAAAGCTTGAATAACTGATGAATTCTACTACCAAGCCCCCCTGTATGCTAGCCTGATCATCATATACATATGCTATGCTTAAGAGACTGTAAAGTTTTAAAGGATGAATGTTGCTGCAGAAAAGAATCATAGAAATTAAACATTTTGATAACATACATGTGTAAAAGTGAAGGACAACCTAGTTAAACCCTTCCATATCCCAACCAAGCTCATTATTTTCTTCAAGGCTCTGTGCTTATCTTCATGCCTTCCCCTCTTCATTCTGGATCATTTTTAAGATGCATTCTGACCTACTCCAATAAAAGATTAGACTAGCATTGGAAAAATCAAAATCAAGTGAACTTTTGTTCTCATGCTCACCACGACATTTCCATTCTCCCTGAGGCAGTTAGGGCATAGTCTGTAATATAGGTTAACAAGCACAGGCATACACAAATACTCTGCCTGGCACAACAGAGATTTTGATTGGTTGAAACCTTGAAGTACAACCACAAGACAAAGTAGTAAAAGCATAAATACTATTAGCATCTCTCCTGAGGCCCCTCCTACAATCTCCTCAACTGAAGTACATACAAGGATTACAGTACAGCTGAGAATTCAATGGATATTTTATATTTGCATCAGAAGACAGTGAAAAATTGTTTACTGTTTCGTATTGAGAGCTGCCAATAAAGCTGATGCCATGTTTACAGAGGAATTAGTATGTATTTTTTGAATAACTTCTAATAGTTAGGTCCTGACTGGAAGTCACAGAGCCACGCTAGTTAACCTAACTGCTGAATGCAAATGAACTGATGATCTGTCAACAGCAGCTTTGGAGCACCAGGTGTAGCACCTCACTGACACAATACATTGCTTTCAGGGCATTAATGGGAATCTCAGCCCAGCGTTACACTGTTTTGATTGGCTTGCTTACCTGGCAACAGCCTAAGGCTTTAAAAATTGATTTATTATGCCATGTAAGTGCTTCTGAACATTCTTATCTGTTGTGCCATTAAAAGAGCAGATGAATCGATATCTATGAGTAGGCAAAAAACCATCTGGGAGCATGCTCCAATGGAGAGCACTGTCGAGGGCCAGACGCGTTTTTCTGAGGACAGCGGGGCGTCCACCCAACACATCACCCTCCTGCAGACGGCCAACCGCGGCCACAGGGTCTGCCTGTGCCATAGGTCACCTTGGCCACCACCGCGAACTCTGACTTCTCCAGCCGTTCAAGGGACGAGCCGTTCGTTCCCCTGACGGCCCGTGGCCGCCATCACCAGGGCAAAGGTCCCTAACTCCGGCCACTTCTGCTGCAGGGCAGCGAGCAAAGCCGCGGCCCCTCTCCTCATCTCTTAGAGGCACAATTCGAGCCCAAACTACGGCTCCGCGCCTCAGGGCGCCCCACGGGCGCAGCCCCGCCGAGCGCCCGTGTCAACGACCCTGCAGGCCGCCGCTGGCCCCTCGCAGGCGGTCTGGGGGCAGGAGAGCGGCCCGCCCTTTACCTGTACTGCCTGACAGCCAGAGCCCCCGCGGGCTGCCGAGGGAAGCCGGGCAGGTGGCTGGACAGATACCGCTCCAAGCTCCCCTGGTCGAAGCGGTGCTGCC